ATATATATATATAGAGAGAGAGAGAGAAAGAAAGAGAAAGAGAGAGAAAGAGAGAAAATGAAAGTGAGAGAAAGAAAGAGAGAGAGATAAAGAAAGGGAGAGAATTAGAGAAAAAGGGGATCAGTTTGGTCTCCCCCCCCCGCATTAACCCAGTTGCAGGAGGGAAATCCCAATCAATATTTATATATGTTACATATGAAAGTAAGCAACACTGCCTACTAAAGAATGACAAATCTCCCATATTTTACGTCAGTTTGTTTTTTCATGTTAAGTCTCTAAAAAACACTGTATAAAATCCACTATTTTTTTATCCATAACGTTGAATGTGTTAAAATCATTCAATCTATTAACAAGGAAAATCACAAGTTTATGTTAACATTTGACGCAAACCATTGTTGATATATTTATTTAAGATGGAATGATTTAAGAAATGTCTCCAATTTGTACTTAGATACATTGTATTTTTTCAATTTTTCTAGTTGGATATTTCACCTACTATTGTAGGTCCACTATTGTACATATTTAGATTGCAATAAAATTTGTATTTTATGAATACTACCTTATGAAAATTGAGATGTAATAGAGTGCGAGTTCCTTATCATAGATTCTGATAGTGGGGTATATCATATATTCGGATGGAGAGTCTCACCTGTCCTCTCTCTCTCTCTCTCTCTCTCTCTCTCTCTCTCTCTCTGTGTGTGTATATATATATATATATATATATATATATATATATATATATATCGAATCCATTACATTAGCTTACGTGCTAATACCATTGGGAAAGTTATGAATCTCCTTCTCCCCCAGCTATGGGTAAATAACAGGACAGACTGGGTTCTACAGCCTTTGATAGCAACTGGTCAAGGAGAGCTCTAAATTCAAAACTTGCGGAGTGTTGTTTGGGGACCTTGTTGCAAGTAGTGTACCAGGTCTCTGTATTCGGCACTTCAAAAAGTGTGGTTGGTTCTGCACAAAATCTTCATTACTATAATCGAAATCATATGTGCTGGTGTCTGGGTTTAAAATGTTATAACAAATTATTCAAATTAAATCATATATATGATATCGAAATGCTATTCTGACATTTAGAGATGGATGTTCATTTACGATACCCATTGTTGTTGATTGTTATTTTTTTAGTATTTGAAAGAAATCAATAAAAAACCCACAATAAAATGGAAATTATTAAAATAATACGAGAATTTTTAGATCATTTAATGACCAATGCCCTTTATGTCTACATGAAAAGTTATATATTATTAAGTTTCCTAAATAAATGATTTATTAAATCAACGATATGAATTAACTGTATTTTGTAGGCACTGCCTGTTTACATTAAAATACAGTTAATAAGATTTTTCATAAAAACAATATAAAAAAAATCTATATATTATGATTCTATGTCTATTATTTGATTACATATAATGGTACATATAATATTTACTTAATTCCTTTTTTTTGACTTTTAATTTGAATATGTCCACAACTGCTAGTTTAATGTTGTCGTGGAAAATCTTCAGTTCATGATAAAATCTAGTTAGCATCGGTTGGTACATCACTATGGTTTATATTCAAGCTTATCTGAAATCTTTGCAAGATTCGTTGATTTTGATCATTAAGTGCAGTATATTATTTCTTTATGGTTTTCTCCAAATCACAAACATCGGCATAAAGTTGACCTATATTCATAGTTAGGATAGCTTCATTTTTTTTGGCAACATTATGTGCATCTATATACACGCCTGTTTTTTCCTATTCTTTTCCCCGGGTGCATATTTAAGGCATTTTTGTTTTTCTCGCAATGATACTTTGATCATATTCATCTGAAAATCGCGACTTACGGTTTTAGATGAGTGTCCCGAGACGCATTTTGGGCTTTTGTTATTCTTACAGCTCTGTCATGGTTTGATTTCCCATTTTAGATTCTTTCATTCTACAGACACAAAATTGTTGATTATTGTTTAGGTAAGGGGCTGTTTCTTTTATTTATTTCATTTATATTTTTTTTTATTTTTTATTTCTCAAGACAGGTTGACTTCGAGATAGTATTCCTGATAATACAGGATATCCATAAAGTTCGTGTGCACTTTTAAAAATGTATAACTTCATTTGTATTTGCGATAGAAATAATTTGGTTGGTTTGATATTTTATTTTGTCAACTTCATAGTATAGTAGGGTCAGTTGGGCACCGTCTGTGAGGAAAAGAGCACTATGACGCAATTCATCAGAATTTGACAGAAATTAGGAAATGATATGCTGTACTGCTTGGCATTAACTTGGTAGCCCCAATATGAACATTTCAGAGTGTTTGGGTGTCAATCTTAAGACAATGCAGAGAATTCGAAAAGATTTGAATCAGTCTAATGGTGATTACAAAGGTACGGCAGCTCTAAAAACTCACTCAGATCTTTGTGACAAAAAAGAACTAACAAATATGTTGCTGAGAGGCTTAGATTTAACACTGAGGCCTACATCAAGTGTCTTGAGGAGGTAGTGCCCTCGTGGTTCAAGTGTCTGGCAACTCTCTTGGTTATTATGTGTAGGGCACAGATGAGTGTGAAACCAAAAAAAAACTCTTTGTAACTCCTTGTAATAACAAAGATGAAGTGAAGGCAAGCATAATGGCAACCTTCATCAACTTGCAGAAAAGTTGCAGGATATTCTGAAGTCGACTGGATGCCATGGTTGAAGCCAATGGCGTTTTTATAGAATAAATTTACTCTTTCATATTTCATGATATTTTTTGTGTAAATTTGGTAAATTTGAGATTTTATTATTTTCATTTTGCGTAATTAGTCAACAATTTATTCATCACCCCCATATATATATATATATATATATATATATATATATATATATATATATATATATATATATAGGGTGTCTGTGTGTGTGTGACAAAAATATAGTTTTAAAGTATATTATATTGATGTGTTAGAGTGCTCAGTGTCATTTAAATGGACTCAAAAATAACTATTTTCTAAAAGAAATGTTTTATTAGAAAAATTTATAGATTTTAATCGACACCAATAAAGGCTAGTACGTCAATAAATGTCTTATGTTTACTTATAAGGAAACTGATAATATTACCATTATAGAAAAGATGGGACTTTCTTGAACATGAGGATCTCTGGAGCTTTAACCAGGAACTGCTACATCGAAGCATAGTTTACATGGAGACTTGAGCGAGAAGAGTCTAACCCCGTAGATGAAATAAAGAGTTCACTTCCGGATTGCCTGTAGGTTATTCAAATCGATATACACCTGATGACGACTGGAGCACATTACGACCGAAAGGTTGTGCTAACAACAACAAAGATGAGGACAATAATCCGAATGATGTAAATATTGATGAATCCTCATCCCAGAAATTCAAACAGAAATAATAATAAGTTTTTTTTTATTATTTTGGTTTCCATTCGATGTGTTTATTTCTATGATTCTCAACCGTGTAACTGTCTTTGTTTTGTCTTTATTGTTTTTTTCTGAAAACTAATATTTCTTATTGTTGGAATTTATGGCTACGAAATGTTTATTATTCTTTTGTTTATAGTTGTTAGAAATTCTGTCCAGCTGGTAAATTTTTCGTCATAAAAAAAATTCCCAAAATAGAAATATGACGTAATATCAACTTTTGAAATTGTTTTTATTTCAATACTATAACCTCAATGTGGTCGACTTCTTTATATACTATAATGAAATTTAATTTTAATAATTCCTCTCACTAATTTTTTGTCTTTTGCAAAAATGCGTTTGCTAGGCATAGCCAGCCTGTGTTCACCAAATGTTCTCTTTTTACACATGTCTATCTCATTTGCATATGATACTACACCTCCCTGATTCGCAGAAGTCGTATACCCTTGCTTTTTTTTCTTTTAATATTCCTGATTATTTTCGTATTGTGTTTGACCTTTTTGTTATTTTTTCAGGAACATATCTGTCTTTTTGCTTTCTTTAATTTCTTGCTCAGTTCCACATTTGTAACTTTCTGTCTCTTCTTGTTCTTGGATCAGTTTGTTTCTCCTTCTGAATTGATCCCAGTGATTCCGTGTCCTGTTGTGTCCTTTTTGTATCAGGAAATTTGCTTCTTCTGGATCAGCCTCTTTATTCTTTCTATACCATACCTTTTCTTCTGTTGAAAAGGACATAGTTATGCGATCATGGATTTGTCTTCCCAATAATGCCGAAGGGCTCAGTTTTCTTCCCCCATGCGGAATTGATCTGTAACTGAGGAGCTTTTTTGGTAGATACGCTTCTATGCTTTCAATATTTTTTCTTTTGTTTCTGTGTTCTGGGTCGTCCAGCGCATTTCACGATCCTATCGACGACGCCATTGTTATGTTTTGAATATCTCTGCGTAATAGCAGTCGTAGTACATTTCTCCGTGTCCTGAATAGCAAATGGGTTTGCTAGGCATAGCCGCCCTATGTTCGCCAGTTGTTCGCTATTTATACTTGTCTATATAATTTGCGTACGATACTACAGTATTGCTGTTATGTTTTACTATTAAAATATATTGTTATACTTTAATAGTATTTTGACCGCAATTTTGGGGTTCACTATTTACTTATAGCTGAGACTGTAACAATTGCTACAGCCCGAGTCAGGGTGAACCTTGGAACAACAGCAGTTAAAAGGTGGTTACACGTTCCTCAAAACGATCAGAGGCCTTGCTGTCGGATGTAGTTTATCGTCTTGCAAAGGACACTAACTTTGTCTTATAGACAGACACTGAGTATTGACTAGAAATATAGAATCGGCAGTGAATATTTGAATCCTGATTGAATGATTTCGTGCTAATAATTCTGCAGAGATCTTGCGACCAAATCTATTGGGAGATGTGCCATACTCATCAGCAATCCATTCTACCAATGATATCAGATCAAAATCTATTACTGGAAGTATAATTTTTCTTGCCAAATATGTGTAATTTCATTTAATAAATATACAGTTTGGTTTCTGTTCCAAGAAATAAACCTCACTCTAATATCATTATCGGAGGCCTGATATACACTAAGCAAAAATTAGATTCCATATGAATAATGAATGTTTATTAATATTGTTCTGCGAATAGCGGCTTGGATAGAGAAATTGGAGAGTCGAGTTCGAATCCGTTACATTCACTTACAAGCCTTAGAATA